GGTCGCGAAGGCAGACGCGTCAGAAAATGCTTTCAACGTTCCTGATTCTGTGCCAGAGTTTGAGCTTCGGCAGAAGACAACTGGAGTCTGGAACAGACTCATTCCATATATTTGCACCAGGTTAATCTCGGCCGTCCCCTGGGCCTTCTGCCAGTCGGTTTTGCAAGAAACAGTTGTCTAGCCTTCCTTTCTGAAGATATTCGCAACACATGCCCAAACCATTACAGCTGTGACTTCTCAATCTGGAGAAGCAGAGGCTGTACACCAAGGCTCTCCAAGATGTCAGTATTCCGGACCACGTCGAGATGCGTAAGGCCAGCGAGTCGTCTAAGAAAGCCCATTTCAGCAGCTTGTACCCGGGTTCGAAGTTTTTCAGTGATAGTCGACGACTCATGTCCGTAGGTAAGCATGGGGATAAGGATCGACTTGAATACCGAGAGCATAATTTTCAGACTCAGTTCTGTTTTAGTTACAACAGTTCACGCCTTAATACGCTGCATAAATTTATTTCATGGATATTTTGTCGATATGCCTCTGATAACAAAAAAAACTAACAAATGTCGTTATGGAAACCGTTCAAAAGCAAAGAAGAACTTAGTAATTCAGATTAATAACTTCTACATAAACAAAAACCGTCCATGACAATTCGACGCGTGATGTTTCGGCGCTGATCGATTGTCGTTATTATCTTGCAACGCATTTGATTTTATATGATCGCAATGTGGTCATCTCGATCAAATGTAATACCCAACCCAGCAAGTTATATATCTACGAGAAGTTCTCCGTGATTACAATGTGTAACTTCTGTCAAAAAATGATCATCTAGGATTCTAAAATTTCGTCCATCAGCAAATGTTCATTGTATATATAAATATTTCTCAGTGAGTACAATACCAATTACTTTGCAAAATTTAAATCTGTGAACATAACATAGTTTGAAGTCAACTTTCAATGGAAGAACGAGCTGATGTACAAAGTAACCTAATTTATGCAGCAAAATTTTATAGACAATATAAAATCATGGCGCCATTTCGCAATTATGCGCTAAATAATAATATCACTATTATGATGGTCATTCGCAATGGATATTATCTTTTCGTCCGCATCCCGATAAAGCTTAAACTTAAACTGGATACTGGATATTATCCAGTTCTCGCAGGTAGAAAAACGGAGTCATAAAATAAAACGTAAAATGTTTGACATTCATTAGTTTCACAGAAGTTACACTGTGCTCTCTGATAGGTTCTAATAAGCCTCTGAGTTGGATATTACACTTGATGGAGATGACCACAGCCGATCATACAGAATCAATCGCGTTTCGCGTTGATAACGACTATCGACGGAAACAACTGCGCCGAATCGCCCCATTCCGTACAAAAACGTATTGAAAATAATAATAAGCAATCTGAGTTTACGATTGATTCTTCCGTGAGCTCGATACGTTCTACGGCGCATCTTCGGTGCCCTCTGCACTTGTATGTGATCAATAATTACTCGGTCGGTATCCAGTCCTTTGAACTCGGCATTGCTTTCCGCGTTTCGCAGCAGCTGTAATAGAAATTGAGCGGACTTTTTCGGCCATCTTCCCTGGGTGTGCTTCCAAGCTTTTGCCTGCAAAATAGATCACATAATTTAAAATTTGAAGCTTTAATAAATTAATGCGACTTGATTATGTTGAAGAAGAGTTATCATACGCAAAGTATGACTACTTCATTACAGAACTGCCCGATATTCTTATAACAGCAGATGTCTCAATCAATCAAACAATCAATTTTATACGCGTGTTTTGAATTGGCATCAGACATTTTTCAGAAAGCCCAGGGCAAAAACCTTCCCGTGTGGTTTACGCGAAAGTCAGGAGTATTAGGATGAAGTACTACTTTAACTATTATAATTGTACAGCATGCAAAATTTAGGAACATCCTGGTAGGGACACGTTATATCTGATTAAATTTCTTTAGTCACCAAAAATAGTATTAGTCAGCTGAGGATGGCTGTGTTACTTAGTATATCATGATCATAATCTTCACTGTTTTACAACTGTAGAATATCTGTAGTTCATGACATCCATAAAAGCAACATTACAGTGTGGTGAAAGGAATAATTCACAGCCGAATGCGACTCTTTATCAATTACATTCGCCAATTTTCTTCTACCACATCTGGCCATCTGGTCGATGTTCGTCATGTATCGATTCATTCATATGAAGTTCGAGGGTTGGAGTAAGGGGTTTACTCTTAATTAATATGTCAAAGAGCAGTGCAGCAGTGTACTTTACTATCTTCAGTTTTACTGAAAATACGCTGACTCCAAGATGGATGAAGCCAATCCTCAGCACAGCCCTTCCATTTTACCGTACCTGTACATGAAAAGGAGAACCACTAGTAGCCGTAAGAGTACTGGCGCAAACATTAGAATCAGTTTTCCTTGAGTAGAAGAAAATAACAACGGAATCTTTCATGCAACATGCAATATTTTAATTTTTAACAGACAATTCTAGTAAAAATCACACGCAGGCACAACTGAAAAGAAACTCTATCAGATGGGAAATCACTAAATGAACTGGTTCTCATATACCAGCTGCGGATACTGCCTTCGAAATATATAAATATTACGTTCACAGTCGATGAATCTCAGGATAATAGCATCGTACTTAAACTTAATTTAAAAATGCTACAAATATTCCCCCCAGTTGTGGAAGTATAACCGAGAACAACATTCCAACAGTTAAAACTTTCTCTCGTTTGATTAAAGATATGAATCATTCACTCATTCACTGCCTCTCTCTCGCTGTCTCATAGAAATAATAATTATTCATTCATACTGTCATGAAAACCACCGATCCCACCTCATACCCATTATAATTAAGTTAAACTCGGCAAGTAGATCCTGGTCGACCTAGCTCATCCATTACACCAGTGAGTTAGTGTGACTATCGAGCAATGCAAGCACCCGGTCAACCTACATGCCGTACAAATGTTGGACTGATGCTTATAGAAAGTAGGTTGCCCCTTCTACAATTACAATCGATCCTAACAAAGAAAAACAGATGCTGTAGAAAAAGGTGGCAATCTTAAATGCATCTGGCAAAAAAATCACCATCGCTTTGTCTCTTTGACGCAGTGTTTTTATCGACTACAATTTGCAAATACCCTTTTCTGTTCCTGTACAGATGGCTAGTTGTCGTAGTTCTTCGGGAACACTTGAGTAAAAATGAATGAGTGGATCATCATTCACTGCTTCTCATTCATGTCTTATTCGTAATGCAGTAACCAAAATATGGAATAAACACTCAACATAAAATTTCATAATAATTAAACCCTATCGAAAAACGTTCGTCATTAACCCACGGTTCACGAAATTTCAGATCTGAAAAATTTTTTTAAAATACGATTCTCCATTTTTTATAGACAAAATATATTTACCGATACATTACGTAATCACTAGTCTGTAATGGTTTAATAACTTTTTAAACTAATGGTGACACGGATTAAATTAAAACTAAATCAAAGTAAGTTAGGAAACAATTCTGAACTCTGCTTAAAGAATTATGCCCCAAAAAATTTATTCAGCGCGGGACCACTGAATTTTAATTTCAAAACAAAAAATGTTAAAACCTCAGAGAAGGATTCAATTCTTATTTCATGCTTTAATATTTTTTATATTAACCTAATTACAAACAACGAAAAGCTTTTACTTAAATAATTCATACATGACAAATTCATGTCTTGATGGAACCAAGTTTCGGCTGGAGTTTACAACCCTCATCAGCCAAGTAACGAAACTCAATGCTTAGCACAATTTCATAAAAAAAATGTTAGCAGCTGGATGAGACGAATAGTTTCTGATAGAAAACACTTGTTTTAATCACCTGACATTTCAAGCTCGTCATCTCTGACAAGTACGAAATGTAATGGTTCTCTGTTTCAGTACATCGGATTGGAATCGCCTTGACATTGCAATTCTTTCCATTAAACTAATCCATGTTTTCGACATTTCCAGTCCTCGCTTCCGATTCATAACATTTTCCGTCGTCTGAATTAGAAAGCATTCGAACAAAGCCCTTTCCGAAGATGTTCAATGCAATCCCTGCGGGCACGATACCCGGGAATCGATTGATCCTTATCGTTCATGTCTCCATCAACGTTAAATTACGTCGGACTGTTAGATATAAGCAGTACAAGCAAATATTATTAAACAGAGTTTCACGAACATCCGTAAAAATATAAATTTAAATCCTCAACAACTAAGTCCTTAAATATGTACATATCCGCCAATCACTGGTATGGCATATTTTAACTCTTAGGAAGATAATAATTCGATCTGAATGGCATTTGCGAGTGCCACCTTATCGTCAATTGGTATTATTCCATTTCTCCTCTAGTTTTAATTAATTACTTTGTTTCCTGTTGTCACCGTCATTTGCATGAAACCAATATGAAACACTAGTACAAGACAGTCACGCCGAAACAACTTCTTTACCTGGGCCTTGTGTCCTACGCCACCACAGTACCGCCGGAAAGGAACGATTTCCTTCTTGTCAATCACGTTCTTCAGATACCTGATCGCGCGTTTCAGCGGCATCTTTTTGATTGCCTGTGCAGTCTCCCGGGTATTCTAAAGTGAAAACAAGTCATGAGCGGCAAAAAATGACAGTAAAACAATCATCTTCACATTTCATAAGAGGACATTTCATTATGCAAACTATCCATTTATCGCAAACTGACTGCTTCATTTTCAGAACAAAGTATGAAGTTATGAAAGCCAATTAAGAAATACGGAGATTACTCATAGCGGATAAGCGTTTTCTGTAAAATTCACGCAAAAAATAATGTAAATAAAGTCATTAGCTACCTTGAAATGAACACGTAAATCCGAGCCCCTGGCCTTGCAAGCTAAATTTGACACATTATACCAGACAAGAAAAAATGTACGGACATTTATTACATTTTGTAGGATTATCCGGCTCTTGACTGTAATGGATTTTTCCCATTGCGAAGTCTGAAACATACAAAATCAGAAATGACAAAAGATTTATAAAGAAATATTTCCACTTCAGTGCAACGCGATAAGCAATATACCAACTTTGCTAAGCAATAATTTAACATTGCAACTTATCCATCGACTACATTACTTCAACAACCTTCCATCTCTACTACAGAAAGGTTGTCAAAATTGATTAATAGGTATTAACTGGAGAATCAAAGCATAGGCGAATCCTCGTTTTAATGTTCACCATAAGGAATCTGAGTGGTCAAATCGTACAAATTCACTCTGATGTGGTACTTTCAAGGAATTATATGCATGTACCTGAATGAAGTTTTTAAAATATCATAGCGCTGGTTTACAATTCAAGATTGTAGAGAGACAGCAACAATTGAATGATCCTCCTTCGTAATTAATGAGGGTCATTGTTACCAATTCTCGATGCCAGCGTTCATTTATCTCTTGAAATTTATCGTTACAAGTTTAAATATCAATCTGTCTTTTCATCTTTCAATTTCATTTAGGGTCATCAAAATGGGCGATTGCAGCACATTGGGCACGAATCCATTATTGTTGAAGTATCCTTCAATCGTGCGATGCAATCCGAGGCAAGTTACACATAGAAAACTGTGGGACATATTAGTCTTTTTTACATTTTTATGCAGTGTTAAGTAAGCGTGGTTATGTCTACTGTTTATGCTTGCCGGGTGTCATGGACATAATGTCTGGCTGTCCCTTCCTCAGTAACGACGTTCCTGGTGACAGCTCTATGAGTCTTGATCCACTGTGTTGGAGTTTGTCGCGGGATGCTCCATAACAGCCACTTCTTCTTCGGCAGTTTCTACTGCGCATCAGGTTGTTTCATGTCATGGAGGAAGTCAGTACACCATAGCACCTGTTCTTGCATGGATATGTAAATTTGGAAGTAAGTGCACGCTTTATTTTTCCGAAAAGCCGAATTAAGGCAAATAGTACTGAACAAAACGTATACTTTACGAAAACAAAATACTTGTTTCAAATATATGCGTTGACCTAAAGACACGAAGAACAAAAGAATCAAATAAAAACTTAATCCTCTGCGAACAGATAAACATAACTAGCAAGCACCACGTCGAACCACAATCAGCATCTTCATAAGTTGCTGACTGAGCAGCTGGCCCGGAATGTCACAGTTTATAACGAAAGAACTGACGCCTGGCAATCAAAAATGAACTTCTAGAAGGACACAATACATTCACCTTGCTGTTAGGGAGCCAGATACATGTTCAATTCAGCAAGCAGCTTGGCGTCGTGAATTGCTGCGGCGAGGGGCTTTAAATCCAGGCTTCAGGTTCGAATACGACGAAGTTACAACCTTTGTCCTTGTCGTAAATTCTTTTAACAAGATCCCTGTATAATTCAGCGCAATCAGTCGAGAAACGGGTAATAAGTCGGTACCTCATGAAAAATATGAACAAGATGGTACTCTTGACTAGTAATGCTAAATGAGCCAGATGTAAGGCCAAGCTGCCCGATGTGAGGGCCCTCAATTTCCCTCTGACCCATCTAATAGATGAATATCTAGTGTAAAAATCAGCAATGGGTATAACCGTTATCATTATTATTATTGCAACTCGAAGCAAGTTCGATGAATGGCGTAAGTAGCAGATAAATCAGAGGCTAAAGCGCATTCATGCGAAAAAGTCCCGTGAAGTGTTGGAGTCGAATTTCCACAGGGCAAACAAAATATAAAACGGATATTTTCCCATTGGTCAGCTGTAGACATGAGATGTACGTCTGAGTGGTGAATTTCAATTACGGTTAGGAGCAGCTTAATAGAACTTTCTGAGACGACTTAGAATGTTACGAAGTTCAGATATCCGAGAAAACTATAGTACCTAGCAGCTACTTCTACAGTCTGAAAAGTTATAGCTGCAATTTTTGGGGATGTTTTCGAATGCATCCAGGAAGGAAGGAAAGGCAGCTACTGATTGATGTACCAACAAGCTGAAGACAGCAAAAATGACGTGGACCACTTCTTTCGCATTGCCTGCTCTATAATCGGGTTATATTCTGCCGAAACACAAATGCTGGTACAGAACTGAAATCGTTGAAGACACTGGCTAAAACAACTGCATCCTCGATTTGAAGGAATCTGCGGTGGTAGAAAATGATTGACGAATTTGATGGCATTGCACTATATTCTGATCAGATGTTAACGATAAGCTTTGTACGTAACAGATTTTACGATTACTTATGATCTCTTGCTATTGGAAATAAACAGTATATCGGGTTTTAAATTAAGCAAAAAAGCATCAAGAATAAGCATGTAATCGAACGTCGGTTATCAAAGATGAACGTCATGAAATTACAATTAAAGGTAATTTGCTCAGATTTTAGCTATTTTATGATCTACAAATTGTAAATTACTGCTTTCATTAGCGTACTACTACCACGGCGACTACTTATTCATTACGTATTGCACAGCTAACGCACATATGTTAATTCATTGTCCGCAACAATTCAGCGATTTCGGTTGCACGTGATGTTCAAAAGCAAACCAAAATGTGCATAGCTTTAATATTCATTGAATTCGTTTATTCAGAGTCGTTTCGAAAAATTCGCACTTATT